GCAGATTACACAAAACCAGCAGGAGTGGATAATAGATCAGAGGGTCATGCTGCCATCCAGAGGGACAACAACAGACAGGAGAAAAGGGCCCACAGGAACCTCAGAAGTTCAACAAGTAGAAGTGCAAAGCTCTGCACCTAGGGACAACTCCAGGCACTGGAAAATGCAGAGAGATGCCCAGCTGGAAAGCAGCTTGGCAGGAAAGGACCTGGGATGTCCTGGTGGACACCAAGCTGACCACGAGCCACAAAGATGATGGGCTAGAGCATCAGTCCTCTGAGGAAAGGCTGAAGAGACCTGGGACTGTTCAGCCTGGAGAAGAGAAGGCTCAGGGGGAATCTCATCAATGCACAAAAAATACCTGAGGGGATGGTGCAGAGGATGGAACCAGGCTGTGTGCAGTGGCAGGACCAGAGGCAATGGGCACAAACTGAAACACAGGAGGTTCTCTCTGAACATCAGAAAACACTTTTTCGCTGTGAGAGTGACCAAGCCCTGGCACAGGCTGTCCAGGAATGTGGTGTAGTCTCAATCCTTGGAGCTATTCCACAGCCATCTGGCCATGGTAAATGCAAGCAGTTCTAGGTGGCCCTGCTTGACCAGGGGGCTAGACCAGATGACATCCAGGTCTCTTTCAGCCGCAAATAGTACTCAATTCTGTGATGTACTCCTCAACTCTTCATGAAGATGGTGTAGATCCAAGAAACTGTACAATCATAAATCTAGAAACCCAAAAAGCTGTAGATATAAAACTTGCTATATTTAATTACAAAAACATGTATTCTGAGCACGGGTTTTGGTTTTCCTTGTAGCATTTCTTCTATACACTCATTACTTCCAGTTACTATTTTGAGTCTATTATAGCAAAGGCTTTTAAAATTATATCATTTCAGAGTAACTGGGATAGAGAGCCATGCATAAAAGTTTTGTAAGTGGTCTAGATAAAAACACAAAGAAGACTTAAGATAATCTTTGATAATCCAGAACAGAAAAAGAAAACCCACACCACAAAAGTCAGCCCCAACTGAAAATAGAACAGATAAATAGCATAACACAAATTATCCTAAAACAGTAACTACCAGCCTCTGCTTCAAGTTGGCTGGATACAGGATGCTGTGACTGGCTCTGGATGTCAGGCCATTTAAATTAAATGTTATTTACATTACAGATTCACATATACATACACATGAATAGGCTTTCATTAGTTTAAATCCTGTTTAAAGGAAAGCATGAAAGTTGGCCCACTGGAACACCACATGAATAGAAAAAGGTGAGTGGAGCCCTCAGAATTAAGCAGGGAGATAAACTATGAATCCAACAGTGTACCCATCTTTCAATTCTCTGAATTTCACCTTCAGTTAAAGGCAAGGCAAGCACAAAGAATCATGGTGTTTCATCTGACCAGGTTCAAAGTTCAGGATTTTAGTCATTCCTACCCAGGGCTCTACAGAAATATTTGAGATACTCAAATGCAGAATTTTTGTATCACATTCAGGGCTTACACAATCAGATCCACAGACTCACACAAAACTGTCAGAGCTACAGAGAAGGTTAACATTGCTTTTTGCAAATTATATCCCTGACTGAAAAGGAAGAAGAGTTTCTACAAATACAATGAGCAATCAGATGAACATCTTTGCCCCTGTGTCTATCACCTGAAGTAAAAAATGGTGTGCCTTTATCAAAAGAAACAAAAAAGGGAAAGGTGGTCCATCCTTCAAGCCAACATCTATAACATGTTGCTGTCTTTCACTATCATTCCCACGTATGTATAAAAAAGTCCTACAATATGTATACTGCCACAGCCTGCCATACAGCTTTCTTCAACTCCACTATTGCATAGGTCCACTGTGACAAGACTTGTCAGAACTCCTAGTCCTCCCAGGCAGCAGTACTTTAATTTCACATAGTCCTACCAAGTACTGAGGAGTTATGGTACTGTCTTCCAAGATGACCAAAAGACACAGAACCAAATAAGCAGATGCATCTATGTTGATGGAAAAGCAACTCAGAGAAACAAAGAGACTACATCATGTTGTCTTCTACATCAAATACACACTAAAAAGATACTGAGTATCTTTTGAGAGAGCTCAGATGTAAAATACCTCTGGACTATTGTCACTGTCAGCTTCCAATTTCCACCATTTGCCTGTGAAGGATGTGAGGTTACCATTAACCCAATCTAAGTTACTTCTCTAGCACAGGCTGATCATGGTGAACAGCCACTGGAACACGAGCCTTCTGTATCATAGAAATAACAAAGCATGAACTGTATGAAGTTCAGACCTACTGCCATTAACTGCTTTGATTTAAAATACTTCACGTCTTTATCTGAACACAAGGCAAACAATTTTTACCAGTCTCTTCCCCTCAGTGGTTATATGAGAATTCTGTAAGCTGCAAGTTGCAAAACGAGATATAGAAAACCAAATAGTTTAATAACTAAGTTGTTATCTTGAAAGCATAGACGGGCCCAAGTTCAAACATTAATTGCTTCAGATAAACAATGTTGGAATGATTTTACCCTTTTGATTAAAAATTCCTGACATCATTTGCTTCCATGAACTGTCAAGAACTGCCAAATGCCAGGTCAGACAGCTGCCCTTGCCTACGCAAACAGCGCTCACACATACACACAACGTCAAACAAAACAGACAGTTCCAGCAATGAACAAACTAATTTATTTTTCTTGCTAGATAAGAACATCCCATTGAAAATAAAGAATAAAAAATAGATTCTGCTGCAACACTCTGAATGCTTGAGTCTCACGTTATAGCATACAGAGAAATTCTGGTACAGCAACATTACAGTAATCCCTGTGCACATGGGTGCACAGAAAGCCTTGAACAAATATTTATACCCATAATAGTGCCATGTACAAAAACGTCATTCCATAAAGGCCAAACAGAAAATTTAAACATCTTTGTTTTTCTTATGCCAAGGGCAACGTAAAGAAATGAAAACTGTTTTCAGTCAATTACTTCCACTTAAATTGTATGAGATCTCTTTATGCTGAAGAACCCAAATTCAGCATAATAAAGTGTGGAAGAAGTAGCAAACAATTATATGTATGTATAAACAATATACTGAACATGTGGGACATGATGTTTTCCTCAATATGTAATTGTTGGTGCAACCACATAAAAGTTAAGTCAGTATTTTTCTAACACAAAGAGAAAACATTGTTTCTTCAACCAATGCTCTGACCTTTCCTTACTGTAATGAGCATGCCTGTATTATTTATCCAAGCATACATGCACCACAAAAGATATGCAAAACAAATTGATACAGATAAACTTTAGTGTCAAATGTCTAATGATGTAATAACAAAAACAATTCTCAAAGTCCAAATGACTTGCTGAATTAAAATTGCATTGCAGTCACTTAAACTAACAGAATAACTGGACTTGTGAGCCACAAAACTTACTATTTTGCAGCAATCTGCTGAAACCTGATGAGTATCAGACTACTGGTAAAGCAAGGCATCTTCAAAAAAGGAATTTGTAAAAAATACATTTATACTATATGCTTTCATATAAAAAGGCATTAAGAAATAGAATAAAACCTACCATTTTAGGACTACACCTTCCCTAACAAACTGTTTTTATCACTTCACTATTACATACAGTACATTCAGTTTCCTACACAGAAAGTATATTCCTTGTCCCTGATGTATATTACAATTGGCAGTGACAACAAACTGCTTTATTATCACCACTCATTCTTGCAGCTTATACAAACAGCACCAGTTTTACCCAAAAAAGGTTTATCAGTTACACAGTAGTACTTCCTTACAGGAAATATAAGTCCAAAACATTGGAACCAAATGCGTCTTACCAAAAATACACCAGTATATATGGCTCAGAGTTAAGGGATGAATAACCAGGAGGATTGCATAGTACAGGGATCTCACCTGTATGAATAAAGCCACCTTTGATTGTTTGTCACCTTCTGACTCCAAGAACAAATTAAACAGGTGCTAATGAAAGTAATACACAACTAAATTTACTGGTAAAAAAAAAAACCTAAGAAGAAATTGTACAGTTCTCTCTGGCACAGTGCAAAGTACATATTAAAAAACTGAATACATATGTACAGTGTGTATGTATATTTGTGTGTATATATATATATAGTATGTATTTCCCTGACACATACACATGTATATATAAAAAGCATGAACACTCATATCCATGCCAAACCTAGCAAAAAGCTGGAATGTTTAAAATGTGGATGCATTGTTCCAGTGAAATCAGTCTGTCCAGAAATGGCTGTTTATACAGCCAATAAGCCCTTCCATGAAACAGAAATATTTATTGCCTGCATAAATTGACAATTTACCACACATTGATCCTCATAACTTACCAAAGGACTGATAATCACACTTTATAAAAGCTTATATTTGCATTATGCCCTCTCTTCCATAATCCTCCCCTCCCACAACTCTATCCCTCATGACCAATTCATATGGCTATTCCCTTTATGAAAATCTAGGAAGAATAATCTAGGGTAATATACTAAAGTACTACTCTGCTGGAAGACCAGATAAGAGTATTCACTACAGAGATGAGATCTATTTTTTCTTGCAATATAAAAGTTTACAGCCATGCCTGTAAAAAATATTAACACCTGATGCTGGTTTATTTTATTATTTCCCTTTGGGATTCAGCTGTTTTGGTTCTGAATATGAACACGTTGGCTGAAGTCTGTAACAGAGAACACACTGCTCAGGATTGGGAGAGCACCGTTACCCGACCTGCCCACACCCAGCTCCATCACCTGCCCTTCCCTGCCCACAGTCTCTGAAACAGTTCACAAAAATACTAGAATGTAATACAAATCACTCCTCCCCTTGATCCTGAATGTCTTTCATTACATTTTGATAGCACTTTCAAAAAATAAAGTTTCTTTGTATCAGCAAAGCAGTTTCAAACCAAGGCGACGGCTGTGAACCTGAGAGCTTCGTGTGACACAAACACACACGTTTGGAGTATCCACACTGGTTAGTACTTTCCTTGTTTAAGTCGTTCAATGTGGTAGCACAACTTTAAGGCAGGCCCCAGCTTCAGTCCCATATATTTCATGATCATGTCACTCCTCAGTAAGAGTAGTGCCTTCCCATCAATTTCCTGCAGAAGGAAGAGAATAAACACAACATCCAACTACTTTAACAAGCAGCATGGTAAAACAGGAAAGTACATTACATTTGTTTATATTGTAGTAAAAAAAATCTACTGTATATAAAACAGTAACTTAGTATAATTTTATAATTATAGATGACCACTACAATTTTATTTATTTTAGTACTTTTTCATGTATGATTAAGGTATTTGAGATGCTAAAGAAAGAAAATGATAGTTAATAAAAGAAACTGAGCAAACAGTCCTCAAAATTAGGTACTGACTGGGGAAAAAATGTGAATGGGTCAAGGGGAAAAAAAAAAAAGGCTGCAAAGGAAGGTCTGTGCAGTTAGAGATTAAATGATCCAAGCACTGAGGCCTTGCACTGAACCTTGAACACAGCTGTGGGAGGATTTTGGCATGCACATGCAAACAGTCACACAGAGGAAGGGGTTATAGACCATCTAAATCTGTGAAATAAGGCAGATCTATGTCCATGTTAAACCAGAGAGATTGTTAGGATCAAGACCAAGGACAACTTAGTCAGATTTCAACTGCCTGACTGAGAAACTGCTGAAATATGACAGTCCTAAGCTCTTGGTACCATTACAAACTGTAGACAAGCAATTAGATCCATAAAACACCATAAAGAAAACCACTCTGTTTTTTTTTAAACATAAACCTGACAAAACAGTGACACTTACTCTTGTTATACAACTAAGAATAAAACATAAGACAGGAATCTCCATTAAAAGTTATTTTGAGTTTTCCTTCCAATCCAGCTTACTTGCAGATTTAACTGTTAGTAGGAGCTGGTGCAGAACATGGGTGAAATACTACCAAAGAGAAAACCAACCACTTTTCAGAGGGCTATACATATAGTGAAGTAAGAAAGCAGCTCTCTGTTGAACAATCTAACATAGGAAAGATGGAGTAAGTGAGATCAAAACCAGCACAAACTGACACAGTTTCTGTCTTTAAAGATAACATCTAGTCAGATCTTATGAAATTGTGTATATTGTTTTTCCAAACAGACAAATTGAACATTTCAATTGATTCTCTGAATTTTAGTATTGATGACCAAATGTAAAGCTAACAAGGGATAACAGCATCTCTACTTCAGGACATTCAGCCTCCAAAACAAATTGTCTTGGAGAGGTCTTGGTAGGTCAAATGCCTCATGCTATATACATTGAAATGTCATTTACTCTAGAGGTACCAGGATGACAGGGGTACCAGGGATGGCAGAACTTGGGTACTTCCAGTATTGGTATCCTTTCACATATGCTGGAAAGCAGTGGCTATTTACTTCAGTCTAACAAGGCTGGAACAGAGAGAAAATAGACTGCAAAAGGAATTTTGGGTGGAAAAATAATTTTCAGCCTTCCTCTAATATACAAATAGAGTCTACCTTCAATTGCAAAGACAGTGATAGACATGGAAGTTATATTTTAAGAGATTAACGTGACACACAATCTACTAGAACAGAATGGATATGAGCCATACATGTCTCCTAAAGAGCTCTGCATGTGGAGCCAGTGCCTGTGGATCAGCTTCTTTCACAAAACGCATTACTTCCTCTATGGACCAGGTGGAAGGATCCTTATTCAATATTCTTGAAGGTTCCTTTTTTAGTGAGTTCACATCTGGCCCAGTTGTGGAACTTGCAGCTTTTAATAGAAAAACATTGTGAAAGGAAGAAGCGTCACTAGTCTATACAGGGATAACACATTTCATTTCACATAAGACATTTAAATACTAACTTTTGGCTTTTATTATGCATTCTTTGCAATATATTAAAATGAAAGATGCTTTGTTTCCTCCTAATAATACTGAACTGTTCCTTTTGTCTTTCAATGCCTGCTATAACTGCAAATATTTACAGCAGCATAAACATTAGCACTGTGACATACCTAGAGGGATTAGTTTGACTTGTACTTGGCTTCTGAGTCCCAAGATGCTATTAACTGGGAATGTGGCAAAGGCAAGTTAAGCTGTGCAGACAGAGGGACAGACAGGAGGAAACCCTATCCCTGGATTTCAGCAACATGGCAATAGTTGATAAGATGCTCAGGAAATGAGCTGCATACAGCTAGCTCTGTCTGGTCTGGCTTGCTGCAGGGTCCGTGACAGCAGCAAGAGAAAGGTGCAGCAGGCAAGACTCACTCTGGCTTGCACTGCACTATTAGTTCTAACAGGCTTAAGTTCTGAGTTTGCATTAGCAAGCCTGACATGCTTGACAACAGCACATTTCACTCCATATGCAAGCTTTCCTATGGCAAAGAACTTCTTTATTCATAACTTTGTGTGTTAATGAAAGCAGTTACACAGTTTGGAAGGTTTAGTCGTATAACATACCTTCAATCCGCCTCTGCATTCGGTTCCTACTGACTTCATAGTAACCACTGCTCCCAGCAGAGCTCAGGGACAGCCTGTGCAGGGCTGGGGCTGAGTTTGAGGTAGCAGTCACTGGCTGATGGGAATTTCTGTAGTATGCAGCACTTCCTGAAGTCCGGTACTCCGTGGAATTTCGGCAGGTTGGGCTTGACAGATTGACAGAATTAAGTGCAGAATCCATGGAGTCCTCAGAAAACCGGTGTTCTTTGGAAGTGCTGTTTTCCTCTATAGGCAATGTTTCTGCTACACAAAAAGCAAGTATCAGTATGTTCAAAGTGATGGACATTATCCCTTTGTTATTTAAGACCTTGCTATGTTCTTTTGCAGATGCTGACAGACTGTGAGCCTGCTAACAAATCTCCTGTGAGCCAATCACTGCTATTCAATGTTTGCTCCTTTTCCTCAATCAATCATTGGCTCTTACTGCTTTTTAAAAAACACTTTTTCTGGAGCAAAAGATGTAATATGTCAAGTTTGAAACAGTCTTTCATAAATCATATCAGTTGTATTTATTGAATACTATGGACAGGGAAGCGACAAAGGACATTTTTTAAAAATAAAGTTGTCTGAAGGTAATATTATTACATTAAATAATTTTAGTCAATTTTCATTATTTTTCAAAACATTCTCATAAAGTAACGATTAATATTATGTAACATCTGTTTTGCAAGACACACTTAATACAAATAAAAAGCTTGTGTTAACTAACAATTGTTTAATTTGTTCTAAACAGCAGAGGGAGTCACTAACTTCACACACAAAACAAGTGGACAGTTATCATCTCTGGATCCCAACAGGTTCAGACACAGGGGCCATTATTTAAAAGGGAAGAGGTTACAGGCAGAGCCACAGAGGCTGTGAGACTAAGGTAACAGATTTTGACCACAACGCTGTATGTACACAGTCAGTTCTTTGCACAGGGCAGGGTCTCAGGGTCTGTAAGTGCAGGCTCTGGAAATCTAAAGCTACATGTAAATTACTGAACACAGTGAGCAAGTAAAAAAAATAAATACATCAGGTCTCAGGGAGGGAGTATAACAACAATCCCCTTTCTAGTTCTTACACCTTATCAGCCAGTTGCTACTCTGCAAAAGACAATTAACATCCACTTAGAGGACTGGTGAATTTTTAGAGCCCGTCAACACTAAGCCAGAGGAGCAGAGTTCAGTGGGTCCCTTTCCCTGCTCCATGAGACAGGAGCCAGGTTTGCCTGATTACTGAAAATTCCACTCCTGGTCAACTGAAGCCAGGTCTGCTTGGGAGAAGCATGCTATGTGAGGAAAAGACAACAACCCAAATCGATGAGAACACCACTCCATTCTCTAGCAATCATATGTATTCCTTTCCATTTGCATCAGGCCAATATCTAGCATGAGAAAGAAGCTGGAAGCATGATGTACAAATCTGTATGAAACAAATGCTACTTTGGCAGGAGAGTTAAGAGCTGGAAAAATGTAGCTAACGGGTTCACAGAAGTGTAAGCCCCACACTACCATCTTGAAAATTACTCTAGTGAAGTTATAAAACATATGCTAGTGAAGCAACATATTCTTTGGAATAAGAACTGGTATGTTCTGCAAAACAAGTTCCTGAAATAAGCTTTTTACTACCCTTCTATTATGAAAACTTTGAAGAATTTCTTGGGCAAATGCCCAATTAAAACTAAAGACGGAGTATTTTCCTAAAAAACCCAGCAAGCTTCTCAAGCATGCTTTCAATTTGCTTCATGAGGTCTCAGGTTCTCTGCCTGAATCCTGTTTAGAAGTGGAGTGCAGTGAAGAACTGTTAAGTGTATTTTGGTCTTCACAACACAGGATCCTGAAAGGGGATAAAGGCAGCTAGAGAGCCAGCTCCCTACTTACGGAGTGTGGTAAGGCAAGATCATAAAGTAATAGAATACAATCATAGAATGGTTTAGGCTGGAAAAGACCACTAAGATCAAGTCCAACTGTTAACCCAGCACCATTGTGTTCATCACTAAACCACATCCCTAAGTGCCCCATGTAAATACCTCCAGGGCTGCTGACTCATCCCTAGGCAGCATGTTGCTGTCAGTGCTTGACACCACTTTTGGTGAAGAAATTTTTCCTAATATCCAATCTAAACCTCTCCATGTGCAACTTGAGGCCGTGTCCTCCTGTCCTGTTGGTTATTACTCGGGGAAGATAACAATCCTCACCTCACTACAACCTCCTTTCACATAGATGTAGAGAGCAATAGGTGAAAGTGGCTCAGTGAGCACTTCTACCAGCTCCCTCAGTACACTTGGGTAGGTCCCATATGGCCCCATAGACTTGTGCATGTCCTAAGTAGGTATTGGGTCACTGACCATTTTGCCTTGGATTATGGGGGCTTCAATCTGCTCCCTGTCCCTATATTCCAGCTCAGGAGGCTGAGTACACAGAGAACTGGTCTTAGTACTAAAAACCAAGGTAAAGGAGAAGTACTTCAGCCTTTTCCTCAACCTTTGCCACTCTGATTCCTCCCACATCCAATAAAGGCTGGAGATTCTCCTCAGTCCCCCTTTGATTGCTGAGAAAAATGAGAAAACAATTTTCTTGTCTTTTGCAGCAGTATCCAGATTAAGGGCTTTGTCCCTTCTAATTTTCTCCTTGAATAACCTCACAGCATCCTTGTAGCCCTCTTGATTTTTCTGCCCCTTCTCCCAAAGGTCACAAACTCTCCTTTTTCTCCTGAGTCCCAGACAATGCTCTCTATTCAGCCAGGCCAGTCTTCTTCCCTGCTAGCTTGTCTTTCAGCACATGAGGACTGCTTGCTCCTGCACCTTTAAGATTTCCTTCTTGAACAATGTCCAGCCTTCCTGGACTCTTTATCTCCAAGATGATGTAACATCTTTTACTAAACTTGATAGTCATGGAATAAAGAAGCTTTTATGGACACAAGTCCTTCTCTTGCTCAAAATAACCACAATAAAACCTTCAAGCTTGTTAAGACTTGAATCACAAAAGCAAAGAAGCTACTGAGGTTTTCAAAGAAAACAAACAAGAAAATGAACTCCTTTACATTTCTCAGAAGAAGTTGCAGCAACTTACTGAAGTTAAAACTAAAAGCTATCATTCCACAGAATTTCAGAGAGCCTTTAAGACATGTAGTCAATGATACACACTATAAAATTAAAAGGTAGTCAACCAAGGGAAAATCAGAGCTGTGGAGAACGAAACCACTAACAGAAATCTCAGACCAAGGCCAAAAGGCAGAGGTGATACTTTGAAAAATTGACTGTATTACAAAAGAATTTAATGGTATTTATTCCAATTATATTTCAGATTTCTCTCTGATGTTATAGAACATAAAGTATGCAATAGTAAATAGGTTTGAGAAATATCAACTCTGCTTTTTCCCCCACAAAAGGTACCAGCATTTGAATTTATCTTACTGTAAATTCTAAACACACATACAGCAAGTGGAAAAGCTGGCATATTTCCCATAATTTTTTAGGGAAGGTGTTTCTGTTCAGCAATTATAGTGCCCAATCCACTCTCCAGTCCATCCATCTAGCTTTTCTACAAACAAAATGCAGCTGTAATCTTGTTGAGAAGACAGTCAACTGGTATGACAGCTGATTCAAAAGCAGCATCTAGCAAATGGAGCTTTGCAATCTATGGAGTGATACATTTCTCCTGCCTCAACATTTTGAGAGTTGTGAATAGCAGTGGTACAGAAAGAGATGGGAGGTTCCACTGCAGAATGCCTGATCTCTGGGTAGATTAACAAAAGGCCAATAAAAGGCCTTATGTTTCAAATGTAAGAATGACAACAGACTGTTTAAGTACTGAAGGCCTTAGCAGGAATTGGATGTTTTGTTTTCTTGACGCCCTTCTGGGAATTAGAAGCCAGTTGTTCTGTCTCATACAGAACAAAATGATGTAATCAGCCACAGTAGTAAGAACACTCTGTTTTCAGGGGAAGGGAGTCTGAGTTACTCCCTTCTCCCTCCTCCTTTATCTTTCATAACTTTAAGAAGAAATTGCTAGTGAGCAAGAAAGACAAAAATCTGCAAAACATATCCCTAAGCAGATCAGAAGGAAAAGGAGCTGTTTGAAAGACCATTTCCCACAATTATTCCATTTCGCCTTCAAATAATATTTCAAAATAACTATTTCAAGACAACTGTGTCTCAATGGAACCAGAACTTTTAGGGGCAGATCCTTCTTGCTAACCAACCCATGACTGACCGCTATAAAATTGCCTCCAGATTTTCAGCAGAGGACATTGTCCTAATGGGAAACACACAACACTAGAGAACACTTTGCCTCTTGAACTGCACAGAGTACAAATGCAAACCTCTGAAACCACGGAAAAACACTTATTTTAATTATTTTTTACTCAAGTAACTGCACTTTACAATGAACTACTGAGTTTAAAATGTATTTTAAAGAGTACACTGACTTCATCTGTGAAAGAGATCCACTAGCAAACAAGGACTAAAAAGCAGCTTGTGCACTCCTGTTTACTTTGAAAGATTTTTTACAAGATAATGCAATCTATTTAAACATTTGTTTGGCTCCAAATGAAACAACTTCACTTGAGCATAATTAAGTGCTCCACCCTTGTTAAGGTACCTACCAGAAATATCTGACTTAAGTGTACAATATATCTCTGGAATTAAGCCAGTGCTTCTTTTGGAAAGACACAGAAATCCATAATCAATGCAGAACTGTATATAATAACTGCCACAGGATACACAAAGATGTGAATACACTACATATATGAAAAATAATTAGATGTACCATTTTAGATAAGGTATCATTTGAGACATTTTAATTTTATATCCTTTTCTGCTTTAACTGTAGCCTTATGACTTTTTAATCTGCACAGAAGAAATCATTCTGCCCCCGCTCATGCTAAATCACTCCAGGATCACATTAAAAAAAAGGAAAAGAAAAAAAAGAAGGAAAAAATAAGTAATCCCCATCACATTTCAAAAAAGCCTTTGGAAATGATGTGCAAATATCTTTCAGTAAGAGAAAGCATGTATCAGATGGGATGAGTCAATATCATCAACTTACCATGGCGTAACCAGTTACACAGCAAATACAGAGTGAAAAAACATTTTGCCGTGTCTCTCTCACTGAGGTATAAACCTAGATGCTTTACTTCACATCTGAGGCAGACTAAGACTAGACATGTGCTCAGTTACTCCAGCTGAGCTGCAGCACAGGAAAAGATGCTATTTATTAGTGAACTACATCAACCTAACAGTCAACTGCCACAGGGAGGCTACACCTCTACCCTGGCCACGGCTGCCTTGGATTCAACCCTTCCTTGTGATCATCCAAGTCCACACTGAGTCATTCCAGAGAAGGACACTGCAAGACTCTTCACCAGAATGTTTTCTGCATTTTTGCTCACAGGTTCAGCTCACTAAACTGCTGGGGAAAGGAGGTGAAGGAGTAAGGGGTGGGCTAGGGCTCCCTGCAGGAACAGGGAGGCAAGGAAAGCTGGAGCAGCACAACTTTCATGGGCAGTTAGCCATAAACTCAGCTGAATTGTATCATCAAGCTGCACCCTTACTGACTTAATGACCCCAGCCTAGAGTTATTTAGAGTTACTACCAATTAATTCCTAATCTATTTTCAAGGCATTTGGTTTTCTGCTCAGTAGCCGTACATGAACCAGGAGGCTTCATCTGTCACTTATGTGCCTGAGCCCCTTCACAGAAAAGACTACTAGGTTTAGGAGAAGCACTGATGGAAATTGCAGTACATCTTCCCTAAGTGCAAAATCTGTGCCAGTGATCAATAATTAACATACTTTCACCCTGACCTGTCAAAGGCTAGAGACAAAGCAGACACATATGTTGTACTCAGTCCTTTTTGACTGGAAACACTGAAAGCATAAATAATCCTCATATATAATCCCGACATAATGTAATTACCTTCAGATGGATGAGCATCATTTCTGGGAAGCTTAGGGGAAAGAGGAGCAGTATATGGTGGAGAGTCCTGAGAATATCGTTTAGCACTCCTGTTTTCAGGTATTTCTTCCTTTGCTGTGAAGAGGAAAGTCACCACCTGTTATTTTAGCATAAATCTGCCCATGGGCAAAGTCCAGGGACAAAAGCAAAGACAGCCATCAGCAATTCACCAGGTTACAGTTCAATTTCTTGTGTCATGCAGGCTCAGTCATTTCAATAGAAACTTGCAAAGCTGAAGTACAGTTTAGTTTATACTGTCATCACCAAAATTACCTTGACCCTGTCTACTTTTCTGAAGAGTTAAAACTAACGACTTTCATACGAGAGATAGAATTTTAAACATAATTTCTCCATTGGAAAAGGGGGAAAATTTTTCTAAAGCAGCACCCAGAAAACAGACTCAACCATCAGACAGCTGTGAGGAAACTTCACTCCCAATATGAACCTTCTGAAACTGCTCTGACAACAAGGCTATCTCAGCTATGGCTCCTGGTGACTCTTGACCTGGGACCTGTAATACCACGACCTGCAAACAACCTGTTGGGAGATGTTGGGCAAGTCATTTCGTCTCCCCTTCACTCTACGTTTCTGGTGCAGCAAAGATAATAGATTCATACAAAATATCACAAGCTGCCACCTGCAACCCTCACCTTTTCTGCTGGAAGACTGGACTGTACATAGTAGAATGTAAGTTTTGGAGCCACCACAGAGTAAGGTGAATAAAGAGGAAAGAAAGGAGCTTTTACGGGTGTTGGAAGTGTTCCCTTTCCAGATGAGACTCTTGTCATAGGCAGCAAGTATCTTTTGGTAAGTTTATTTTATACCCAAACATAAATTTAACAAATAAAATGTGGAGTTTTGAGTTTGCCTTTTAGTGGTATCACAGTGGTAAAGTACATGTGTTTCCTGGCTTGCTTTCAAGGAGGTGTTTGCTAAACAAAATGATTTCTGCACATGTGGTATGAGCTATCCCTTACTGTCAGAGCACTACCACACTGGTACCAACTTACTGAGAACTGGTGTATTAATTTCAAGCAATTCACATCACAGAAAGAGACTAAAAAGTTACATTTCATAAAGTTGCCACATTTCTCAAAAATTTCAGCACTTAAAAATAGCAAGCATTTAACAGTACCTGGCTTGCTCCTATCATACTCCGTGGGACTATGTGCACATCCCATGTAGGGGCTGAAAGGTTGGCTACTAAAGAGATTATCACACTGCAGGCTGTGGCACAGTTTCTCCAAGAAGCGTAGGACAAACGATGCACTGTTTACAGAAGGAAGATTGATGGAATGCTTTTCCCCATCAAAGGAAGCTGTGAATAAGAAGATGATGTCAAACACCCACCAAACATCATGAAGTATAGCAAAACACTATCATTAACTTAAAAGAGAAGACATCTAGATTTGATTTAAACCACACAAGACATGAGAGGAATAAACAATCATTCTGATAGTGAAGAAAATTCACATCCAAAGGACTGATTTTACCTTCCATTGTATCCACACCAGTTTTAATTTGCTCTATGGGAACTCATTTTAATAAAATAATTTTGGATTCACACCAGTATAACGAAAGTATTGCACCTATTCCCTCATCACTGAAACCTTATGTCTAATTTCTGTTGTTTGCTTATAGAACAGCAAGCTCTGCACCACCTATTTACAGGAGGTAACACAGAAAAGACCCTTTACAATACTTGCTAAAAAAACCAACTTAACCGAACCCAAAAAAAAACCCCTTTTTTTAAAAAAAAGAAATGAAACAAACCATTTTAAGGTGGGTTTTTTTCTCAGTTTCTAACTGAACTGAGCATACTTGTGGTAATGTGCTGGCATCCATTACCATTGAAATTCTGACAACAGAAACTGTTTTGCCATTTGCTATTTTACCACTAGAGAAATCTATCCTGCTGTCAACACTACAGTGGTCAAGCTCCCATTTATTTCAACAGGAGCTAGGTGGCAGAGATACCACAACAACCACAAATAATCTGCTGTCTTTTAAACTGAGTGATTACAAAGAGCCTGGATATGTGCTTATGTCTTTTCCTTGCTGACCTCCTTCCTTTCCCCTCAAACAAAGTGTTGCAGCTCATATTTTGCTTTTTTTGAAAATCAATAAGGTTTTGAAAAGACTCAATACTACCAATACATGGATAAATAATTACCATTACCTCAGCTGAAACTTTGAGGTACTTCTAATTAGAATGACTTTATAAAAAGCAGGAACAAACTTATAAGTTAAGCTTAGGGTTGAAAAGAAGTGGCATAAACACCAGGTTTATGCATCAATTTGTCTTCTTGGTTTTCAGCTTGTCATGCAGCTTTCTGTTGTTAACATAAGTTTCCAAATGATAAGCAGAGCTTTAGAGGATCACATTTTGTTGGTAGCAGATGCATTTTAAAAAAAAAACAAGCCAGAACTGACAAGAAAGCCTTTATTCACAGATCTGCATTAAGGAATATTTCCATATTGTGTTACAAAAGAGACAGATAATATACACAAAACCAAAGAAAATGCCCAAGTCTAGCATATTTTAGGCTTCCTTAGGAAATCTGAAGTGTCAATTACTTACACAGTTGATGTACGGAAGCTTCTGATTAGAGTTAATGCAAGTTAACCAGCTAGCATCCACAGCAACGTGCTGCCTCTCCCATCTGCTTCCATGAGAGACTGACCCAATGAAAGTGCTTTTAGTTTAAGAGTCAGTACTACAGGGACAAATCCCAGACCAAAATGTTTCCATGGCCTATTTGTTTTTTCCAGGCTCCAATGACCAAATGAAATGCTAATGATTCACAGTCCTACATGTGCTTCAGACACAAGGTCCTCTACATCCTGTTTGAAGGAGGTGTCTCCAAAGGCAAATTTTTGCCTGGAACTCAACCAGTTCTGGAGAGCAAATGGGCTGTGAGACCTAGCATGGCCTGACCTCCTGGCACATTTACTGCAACATAGTAGTCAGCTACAGCAGATATTTAAAATGCTTTATAATAGCCTTATGGATCTTTCTATATGACCTTGAGGAAATGACTTATTCTCTACCTCTCAGTTTCTCATTTTGAAAAGAAGCATTGCAAAGAACAATGTTACTTAGGAGTTGTCAGGAGGATAAAGCAAGAAACAGCTGAGGCATCATGACTGCCCTAGCAAAACATACCATGGAAAGACCCACAAATAAAGATTCAGTACAAACACAGCTCTCCTGTACTCTGAACACCTGAGAGCAACCATACAAACTTCAACCAAGGGTGTGGGATCCAGATCCACAGGCTCAACTGTCTGCTGTGCTTGGAGACAACATAAGCATCTTACTTCCCAGATAAATGCTAAGGGAAAAAATACAGTACCTCTGAGGTGCAATAACCTCGACCTTTAACGATATATAAACAGGGACTGGAGCTTGTGTGTGTAATCCAGCCCCCAAGACAAAGAGTCATATTCATTTCTTCACCTTCCATTGTGTCAGTATGTTTTAAATACCAGGTTCAAGCCATGAGAAAGGCTTAGAGCTAAACTATCACAGATCTTTTTTTTTCTGATAGTGACGAAACTCGCCCAAGAGTCTGATTTTAATTCTCTGCTTGAGAAGATTTGTCTGAGCTTCAGACTATTTCATTCCACCAAACACTACAGTCTCTGTGCTACAAAGAGAAAAAAGGAGCTGACACCGCCACCATTAGTGGGCTTGCTAATCAAGCCTTTAATTTCCTTTCAGTTATATTTGCCTGAATTGAAACCTTATGTATCACCAAAAGTAAAACGGTTTGTGCCTTTGAGTAAAAAAAGAGATGGAAAAATCCTATATTCAATTTTATTCCAAACAATTATTTTCTTTGGCAGCTGAACCAAAAGAACCCACTAATTATTCCATGTATTCTAGCAAGATTATTTTATCCATGTCCTCAACAGCACACAGTTTCCTCCTATGGCAGATAGAATACTTGCCATGGAAGCATCAGTTCACAAAAGGTTTAGATTTCTTTGCTTATTCTCTGCCGCAACATTTTTTTTCTTGCCAGTCTAAAAACAACTCCAAACAAAACTTGAACAAACCACCCTCCAAAACCACTTTAAGCCATAAAAGCTACAAGAAAACACTCTCACAATTTCATCTTGTAATTCCTTATTTTATTCTACTGCTGCTTTCCTCTTCTTCCTTACTGTTCACATGCATGCCTAGATGTAATGTGCTACATTAATCTAAGTCATATTTTGTGCTTCACAAAATATATCACACACAAACTTTTGGTAATATGACAGGGAGTATTTGCTCACCAGCTTCTCAGAAACCTGTTTGACAAGACAATGAGCAGGCAAGAGCTCAAGAACACCAGAAACCCACTGGGGACTTGTGGCTCACTATCACCCAGACCAGGACTCTGCTTCAGGAGCAGCCCACATCACCAGGTTCCTCAAATCCAGGGCTACAGAGCTGGTTTCTCTGAATACAGGCCTGGGGTTGAAGGCTGGTGGAGAACAGCAATTCTTTTCTGTACAGAATTTTTGAATGTAAGCAAACCACAACTACATAAGGAACCTGAAATTTCTCTCTCCTATTTGAAATAAGTATTTTCAACTACGCAGCCCCAACCCAGAGATGCCACTGGCCTATGCATTAGTCCTTCATGATAAGCAATCACAAACAGAATACTGGCCATGTATCAGTGCACTTTCCTCTAGGAAACTGACTTGTCTGAATTAGATACACCAAGGTGCTAATAATGTAATAAACTTTCATATACATTACAAAAATGAAGCAATATCAGTTTCAAAACCACACATATACAATGCCATTAAACCTTTACTACACAGCAGAGAAGCAGCATACATTTTGGGAACAAACCCATGGGGATGCCTAAGCAAGGCTTACTGTAGTTCTGCTGTACACAGGTTGGGGTGTTGCTTTTTAAATGCTGTTAGACAGCCAGATCTTCATGAGTATTTAATTGAACCCCTGTTCCACTAATCATCTTTCACATCTGGTGTTAATGTAAAGAGATTAAAGTAATGCAAAGTCTTTTTATCACCAGTGATGGAATTATGAATTGATGTGCTAACTGCTATATAGAATACTTCCTAGCCTAGAAGGAAAAAAATGTCAAGCAGCAGCTATTCAGTTTGAGATATAGAGATAATTTATCTGCAGACCTGCCATCAATAGGTAATAGAAATAAACCTATTCCATAATAGAGGACATAGGTGGATGAACAGTGACCTAAGATACTGCTACAATTCTGGGGAATGGGGTATGGGAAGCAGCAGCAACTTTAACATGTGAAATCACTTGCCTGGAAGCTAAATAGATTAGTTTGAGACTTGTCACCCACTTGGTTAATGCATTAAGAACACAAACACCATGTATGTATAAGATTATGCGAATGATTTGAATTAATAAAGCTGATTATTTCACTTGTACTGAGTTTACTTGACAAATGTTTGGCTACAGCTGCTAAATGAGGTGCACGAGCTCTACTTAGTATAAGAACCTAACTGTACTATGCATATGTAGTTTAACACTGCTATTATTAAATTCTAATTTAAAGATTTGTTCAAATCATCCTGGACTCAGAGTGAGATAAATCACACACCACAAACAGTAAAGGAGTTCTCAAGTAAATGTTCTTGACTGTGTTTACACAGTTACAAAGTGATATAAATTCATTGCAGCTCCTTCAGTTCTTCTTTCCTACCTCAAGTTTACAACCAACAAAGAAACAGAAGAAACAAAGCATCTTCACATACCAGTTATCATTTCCCCTCCATGATGGCCAGATTTCAGAAATCCAAAGACTGTTTTGGCTTGATAGGCACAATCCACACACGCCTGTACAGCCTGCTGAAGTACCACATTGACAGGACCTGGTCCAAAATGGTCTGGAAGCTGGTGAACCTTCTTCTTATCCAGGTGAGGCCCAGAATTTCCATGTTTGTTGACATAAACACACACTGAAAAGGCACAAACCATATTTACTGCCAAGGAACCAAGACATGTTTCCAGTTAGAATGGCCAACTGTCATTTCAGTTTGAATCCTGAGGAAAAGATGTACTGGTCAACTCCAGAAGCTGAACACACACACATACTTCATTACATTGCAGAAAGCACTCTTCTACCAAGGTTCTCCTGCCTGAGTCCTAAACCCGCTTTTTTTTTTCTGCCTTCTGAAGCCCTTCTCTACCTCACTAATATAATGAAGCTGACATGATCTGTGCTTATATTTTGACTAATCTCTGTTCATACACTAGTATGAATCACTGGCAGGTACTCTAAACCACCAAGAGGCAATTTGAAAAAGTTGGTCTGACCATGCTACTGCCTAAATTTTCTCCCATTTGAGAAGCTGCAACAAAGACTATGTTATATCCCTACCACTGATGCTTATTCTGAAGCACCCATATAGCATCAACATACAGACACACTACAGCTACTGAAGGCCTGAACCTTTGGAAGACCTGAACCACTCACGTATGACTTCCACACTACAATGTGGCCTTCTCTGCTAAATAGAATAAACAGTTGTCTAGAAACAGTCAGGTGGATTAAATCTTAGCACAAAACAATCATATAGGACTTTTGAAATTACTTTTTAAAGAGACAGTATGAAACTGTCTTTCAAAACACTGGCCAAGGCACAAAAACAAGGGAAAAAGATGTAACTGATGGGTTTTCCCTTGTTCACCTTGGCTGTCACATGACCACAAATGCACCCAAGACATTATTATACCTTAATGAAATATGTGCCTCTGTGGTGATTAAGCAATCTAAACATTCTATTACACAAAAGACTGACATTTTCTGGACTATATGATTTGGGCTTAGCTAAAACCCTGGACTCTTAAAAATTAAGTATTTCTACAAGAGTTTTAATGATGTCTTCATGCATACCTGCTTACACTCTGATATCTGCAAATTGGAGGAAACCTATTTGTACAAATAATCAACAAAAATAGTTTTTATGGCATCTTCTGTCTGGGCTGAACAACAACTGCTTTCCAAAAGGTTTATTTTCCTAGGAAACACATGGATATTTTCCCCTCATCTATGAATGAAATTGGGAGTGAGAAGAGTCTGACAACTTCTATTGTAAAGACAGTGTTTAGATGTAAAACAAGTATCCCAAACAAAACTATCATAATTTACAGAGTTTTTAGAAAGTTCTGAGATTTCAGCTGGCAACATACAAATTGTTTTACTACAGGTTTACAGTTCCTTAAAGAGTTAGTTCATTTATTAGCTTATTTACTTCTTGCCAACTCTTTTCAAAACACATTTCATTATAATTTCTTTTAAAAACCAAACACATAGGCAAAGAGCAATGTATTCCCTCTGACTGCCTTTATTTGGTTTTAACAGAGTTGTTTCTTTTAATGTAAGGCTACAGAGATAAAATCTCCATTTTGTTATATTACAGTACAGCCTGCATGATATCAGAAAGGGGGTTTAGCTACATCTATTCCCATTTCATACATTAAAGAGTGGGAGAGACATGAAAGAACTGCATAGTTTCCTTCCTCAAACATGAACAAACTGCCAGGTCCAGCAGACCTCTCAAAAGACCCTGTGCCCCAGCACTTAGTGCTATAGTGCAGGCTTCGAAATACTAGTTCTGCAAAGGAACATTGGCTCCTACAGATATATCTAAAAAATAAGGTAGCTACATAATGATTCACAGTAACAAGTTTGCAGCACAGTTGCCATGAAATGACACTATTAGCTTGCTTGACATGGAAGCCATTTCACACATTTTTTTTTCTTTGCCTTTTACCTGTGGATATAACTGCTGCAGGCGCACCAGACAAACTAATTCCATCTTTACGTATCTGTGCAGTGCCGTTGTCCCCCTCAGGAGATGACTGAGGAGAAGGAGATGCAGGAGTCAGTTCTGGCAAGACTTTTTTCTGTTTAGAGAAAAAAACAAAGTCAAAATGTTTAATGTTTTTTAAGGAGTCTGCAAAACCCTTCTGCTATCAGTTACCATCTTAATGAACGCATGTGGTTCCTTATTACAAAAGTACCACACACAGCAGAGAAGGTAAAGTTCAGGAGAGAAAGATCAAAACTGTCAGTTTTTATTTACAGCTACTTTAGTAATGCAGTGGAAGACAAATGACTTATAAAGGAGCCCACCTTTATCTAAGAAGTAGGAAAAGAAAGAGCTTTATATACTAATTCATTACTTTTCTAAGGAAGCACAGAAGAGGTGTTTTGGAATATTTTCCTGTCCATGCCTTTCCAGTCATCTGGGTTTATCACAACTCAAGTAAGTTAGTTTGGCTGTGTATATATTGGCATAAAAAAACCTGAGTCACATCTAGGCATCAACGTTACAGTGCACCTATATTTTCCCTCAGCTTGTTTCCAAGGGGCTTAAATTCTCAAGCAACCACTTTCAGGAACTGATGCTTTATGCAAGATATTAAATAAACCTGTTGTTACAATCCCATCATGTCGGTTGCCAAAACCTCTTCCTTTCCCAAACCAAACTTATTTGCAGCTTAGCATATGACAGACAAGCAGAGTTCAACAGCACAGAGATTTAAAAACTGGACAGTGTGCATTATCTTCACCACCTGAGGAAAGGAGAATTTTGTTGTCATTTGTTTGGACCAGGGTTTCAGAAAGAGATGTGCACAAGGAAGACACTTCTAATGTGCTTTGACATACTATGAAAATATATGGAAATATAAAGAAATAAGTTCATCATTCCCTGTTCAGCACTTATTCTTGCATGAGAACAGATTACATTCTTATTCTCTTATTTATTAAAAAATTAGGAGTGTAAGAGATTACCCAAGCTCTTGACACTGCTGAAGGCAGCAGACATTTGTGGTCATGTGGTAAGTATTTACTGCTAAAACAGATATACAGTGAAGTAAAAAAATCAGTCAAGTTGCTAAGGAAGGCTAAAGCTCTTCCATTTATCAGCATTCATCCTTCACATTTTTAGAAGCAGCATATTTTCAAACTCATGTATTAAAATCATGTAGAAAGCAACTGAAATATCCACCTTCCTAAAAGAAGCAGTACCTAACTTCTTCACACCTAGAAAGAATAAATTAAATTTCTTCTGAAAACTGGGACACTTTCAAGAAAAGTTCTGTGCCCCTTACTGTTCAGAGAAGACAGGTTTGGCTGGAGAAAGTACTTGACAATATGGCACTGGGTGGAATCACCCTGAATATAAGGAATAGACTGTCAAGGCTTGGCATTGCATACTGAATGAGATGAGATGACATGGGTTAGACACAGAACCAAGTGGTGATGTATTACTTGTCAGGAATTGCCTATGTATCTTAACACTGGGTGACAGAAAGTATTCTCTTATCCTTAACAGAGAGAACATAAATGCACTTGGGAAGACTGAGCTTTTGATCTGAAGTGCTCCAGAAGGCTCCCTGGAGCAAGGATTCTTGTGGGGGACAGTTGTCTGTCACCACGCTGCAAAATATGAGGGGTCAAGTCGAGGGGAAAGATGAGTAAATGGGGAAAATGTAGGCATGAAAACAAAATACAAACACTAAACTGAGGAACCATTCGCTCTCCACACTAACATACAAGGGTGGTGAATCTAACTGCCCATTTCCTTCAGAAGGAAATACAGCATGTTACGCTTGCTCTGCTCTTGATTTGCATCCCCACACTGATGAGCAGCAAGCTGTGAGCCCAAAGTCATGCTGTTTCACAAGGCAGGCCACGTTCCCAGCAGGGCTCAGCACGTTTGTTGGTCTGGATGGGGCTGGCTGGACCCTGCCAGCTGGGAGGGCACACCAGCTCTGGCTGCAAAGGGCACTGCTCACAGCCTGGTACCACCTGGCCAACTTCACCAGTTCACCATGACACTTGAAAACTCTCTTTTTGTGGAGCTGAATTTAGGGCTGTTAACCACACTGTGATCAAGGCCCTTCCCTGAGAAATTATGAAAGAAATTCTTTGCACTGTTATGCAAAGTGTACTTCTGAAATATAATGAAAGAGATATAAAGAGTTTTTTCTTCATTATGAGAGAGTAAAAACATACAGTGCAAACTGTGAGAAACAAATGGAAAACAAAACTCAACATGCATCTCATACTTACAGAGTAGCTTAGAAAAATTTTAAATAAAGGAGAAAAATGATGCAACAGCTCAACATTCCTAGCTGTATAAGAAAAGTTCATACCTGCACAATGATAAACATTGCATCATAATAATCCTAAAAGGGCAAAGAAATTCAAACAACTCTATGCAGGCACAGACCAACCTCCTTAAATACACAGGTTCTGAACTACCACACAGCCATCTCATACTTGAAGCACAATTATTTAGCCTGAAATCTGGAGGGGGTTTTTTTAATCAGTCTTGGGGGGAGGGGGGAACCAACCACCAAACAACAGAAAAAAAAGCACTTCGGAATCTCTAGGCACATACCACTTGCACTATATTTGCACATGTATCATGAGGTATACAGGCTGCATAGCACTCCATGTCAGAGACACTCTGTCTGTGCAGAACTCCCACAAAGACCCATTTCCTCTGTTCACCCTGATGATAACAGGTGCCATAGTCCAAAGAAAAGCTTGCACACATGTGTAACATCTTGGCAATTTAACCATGTACCAAAGCAATAACAACCTTCTGTGGATTCTCAAAAGGAATTAATTTTCAAAGTTTTTAACGCAAAAGCTAACACAGTAATATCAAACTTAGATTTTGCAAAACTTCTTAGTTTCCTAGTTGCACAAAGGAGATCAGGAGGGCATAGAGGTACCTCAGATTCACTGAGTAAGTCCTTAAGATACGACAGTTCTGTGTTCAATGCTGTCCTATAAAGACCCCCTAGACATGGAGAACACCTGACCCACCAGCTGAGCCTGGATGGAAGCACCTTTCTCCTCTTTAATCTGTGTCTCTGTGCACTTTTATACACCAAGAAAGAGATAAACAAAGCTGGAGACCAATTCTACTGGTAGTCTACCAGTTTGGATATCTGACTGGAAGGGGCGGACAGCAGAAAAGACAGTGCTCAGTTTTCAATTCCTGGTCCCCAAAATAACTTCTCATCTTGTGGTTATCATTGCAACAAAGTATCTGCTTCCAGTTTTGTACTAGAGCCTTCTGGCTATGCTCTAATAATGTTAATTCACTAGGACTTTATGCTGATCAGCACTATCACTGAACAAGGATTCCCTTTCCCACACATTACTAGCAATAGATCCCATAGCCCAAACTTATACAGACTGGAAGTGAGAAACCCAAAACTACCTCTTGAATCTTTGTGGGGGGAATGAACACACACAAAAAACCCACCAGAAAAACCAATGCCCCCCACTCCCCCATTGGTGCTAATGCAAAGGAGGAAGGAGCACAGGGACAGGCACAAGCTGCCTGAGAAAAGATGTGGCAGGCTTGCTACTCCTCTTTGACAGCCTGCTGTGCCTGAGCAAACCTCAGAAAATAGATTGCACTTCCACAGAGATCCAAACTGCCCTGAATCTGCCCTGCTGTGATCCTATTCTTCCCTGCAGCAGCTGTAGCATTTGTGCTTTTTCGGGGTGGAGCAAAGAAGGAAGTAAGAGGGATAGATGCTGTGCTAGCTGTCTACCAGTTGAGCTCCCTGAACTAGCTCACTGAGATTGCTCACCATCAGTACTGGTGTCACATGGGAGTGGGGAGTGGGGTGAGGGTACAGCAGTGCCAATGTGTACCTGACCAAACAGCTCCATGGGAGCTGAAGCTGGAGGCAGCTGCCAGCACTCCAGGTCTGACTCAGCTTGGCAGGGAGAAAAGCAGAGAGAGGCATCATGTCTTCCCGACCAGGGCAGAATTAGGCCACACCTAGAGAAATGCATTGCCTGAAAGAAGCTTCCTGCTAGTATCTCCAGGATTAGGGGGTATCCATGAGATGCATTTGGCAATTCCAGCTGTATGCTTCAGAAGCCTAAACTACGTAACAAAGCCCTCATCGGCCTTAATTCTTTGTTTCTAGACATGAAACAAAAAAAAATCCTAAAAACATTTAAAATTACGCAAGATATATACATGGTTCAGTAACAAACTAACCCACAGTGTAAAGCCTGAAGGGCTTCTCTGGCTCTTGAAATTTAAGTGGAAATGGCTATTCCAGAATAGCATTTTTCAACACCAGCAACTCACCCATAAATAAATCAGTAATCTTTTTCTGAAATAAAATAAACCACAGAATTTTATGGTGAAATATTCCAGAGTAGCTATTCTAGATTTTTTCCTTGTAATCAGTTGCTGAAAATAGCAAAGCCCTGAAGGCTGAAGAGAAGACAGAAAATTAAATAATCAAAATATCTCACTACATAATTTTGCAATGTAAAATAAAGTAGTAGATAAGGACTAACCTTTTTTCCAGGTTTTAAACTTTTTTTCCTTGTTTTAAGATTTTCAGTATGAGAGGTGCTTTTTGTCAGGGGAATATTTTTAGGAGACCTGCCCTTCTTGGGAACTGCAGACTGTCCAGGGGGTTTGCCCCGACCTGGTTTCCTGCCCCGTTGCGCTGGTACTGGAGCAGATTTCTGTGGAGACTGCATTGAACGCCGGGTCACTTTGGAAGGGGAAGATTGGATTTTTGCACTGCTCTTTGTAATGGAAACTGAAGAAAAACAAAAACAAAAGGGAAGGGGGGGAAAACCTCAAAATGAACAATGGAAAGCAACTTTTCTAACAAAGGCTTAAAAAAAGTGTAGTGCACAATTTACATTGTAAAATAAATATACTTTGATATTTTGAACTGAAGTGGTTGGCATGAAACTATATAACTCTATTGAAGCCAAAGAGAGAACTCTTTGCACCCATTCTTTTAGAGGGACTTTGTTAAGGGAAAAACATTCAAACAAAAATTTGCAAAAAAAAAAAAAAGAATGAATCCACTCACCTTATAAATGCTTCCAATAATTTAATTACGATATTTATAAAGTGCCATTCATCAAGAAGGCTTTCAAAAATACTTCACAAATTATACAGCCCATAATACATCCCTTTTCCCCTAAGAGCAGTTTTTACTATTGTAAGACATGCCAGCTACTTCTCGGGAGCTACAAAACAACTCTGAGTGGCAAAGAACATCAGCTCACTGACGAGGAGAAACTGATGACAGGCAAAATGTCATTTATGAGCATTTATCTGAGATGCCAGTTAAGAAATTTAAGTTCATAGAACCATACCCACACTTTTCTGTCTGGAGACATTTGGCAGAATGATTCACCCATGAGATGGGTCAATCTCCCATCCCAATACAAATCCAGTATGTATCCCCTTGTCCCAATATATATCCACTTGGATATGATCCAATATGTATATGATGTGACTGCATTACAATCTAGTGTGAAACTGCAAGATATAATCAGATTTCATTGAACTGAACTCCCTAGTTAGCATCTTTCCCACCCAACTGACTCTTCTCTGAAATACTAATGATTATTTTATTTTAACAATTCCCTTCACGATGGACAGATTAAAACAGCAAAAGGATGCCAAACAGAACCTAAGGGCATATCCTCATGGAAAGGATGTACCACACCATGCTAGAGCAGCATCTGTGGCCAAGAGAAAGCAAACACTAAGTCCAGAAGGTCAGCAAATACTCCATTTAGTTGGCCTGACTGCTGGCAGGCAGACAGATGTGTAAGTTACAGTAAGTTGAAAGGTAAGTAGAAGATGAAATTGGGAAATTCGGTGATGTCAAACCTCCACCGTGGTGAGGTATGGGAAAGAAACACAACATATGTGAAATAATTTGAAGCCTTTACACTAAAACTAGATGATTTTCTAGTATCACACTGCCCCTACCACAGCCTTTTGCATCTCACTGATGCTGAAACTCATGTGATTTACCCTGACATTAAATACTATCAACTTAATGTGACACCACTTAGAAGTATTGCAAGTTTGGGTTCAAGCAGGCTTTGATGGTGTCAGTCTCCAGTGCCTGACTACTGCACTAATGCAGATTGGAGTTGGAGCATGGGGGACTGCTAATTCTGGATTTTTGTGAATATGAAATATTTCTTATCCAAAAATATTAGTATGTTGAGGCTTTCTGGTAAGCAAATAAAACACAAAATAAAACACAAAGATACATTGAAATGATATCTTGAGAAAATAACATATTTAGGACTGAGTAACAGTTTCAATGTCTAGCTCTCTGAGGGATATTCACCTTAGCAGTCCAGCACCCAGCTTTACAAGTTACTTCAACTCTGTATTTTTATTCAGGAGTTAACTGTTATTAAGTACTTGCAATAGAAAATGTCACAGTAAGATGAAATACTGCACACTGACTTCTTATAAAATAAAGGTACTACTGACACACATTTCTAAAGCTGGAGGAGCATTTACATACCTTGCTATTTGCCTGATTCAGTTACTAATCTAATATTGCTAAATGGCAGTTCAGAAGAAATCTCTTCATTATGGCTGGTTGCAATCCTAATACATCAAACACAGACATGATATCCCTAGGTATCTGAGAAGGACCACCTCCTGGATGTGCAAAGCAATCGCTTTCCTTTTATTTATGTATGCCAAAACATATTTTCATATGCAATGACAGCTTAAAATAAGATGAACAGAATTTTAACCAAATGCTAGCACAGCATTACTCTTATGTCCCTGAATTGCTGAACGACAACTCAGGTTAAGCTGCACGACTGGAAAGCAAAACAGTACCAGCTGTATGCTGTGCAATACAGTACTACATATTGTGCCCTATATTTTGCTTACAACAATATAAAATGCAGCTATTTTTATTTATTTGAGCCACACAACTATGCATTTAACAAAACAATCATGACCTTGTAAAGAAATGTAGTTTAACAAACTCTTTGTGCCTCTGCCTATGCTGAAATCTAGCAAACACGTTTCTATTTTCGCTTAGTAAAGACACAGCTAATGTTAAATACACAGCTACTTTAAAGTCAACAGGTTCTAGGAGCACAGGTATGAGTTTTGGGACACTGGACAATCCCTATTCCCTTCCAGAAGGACATTTACTGGACAAAGAGTAACAATGCAAAGAGCTCCAACCACTTCAGGTTGCCCTCTTGAACCACACACATCAAGTACCCTTATCTCAGCATCTTCCTACCTGTATATGCCAGAGGACCAAATATTAGCAGCATTAACCATTAAGGGGGGGATCAGGCCCCATTTGGTATTTTTCCTTCTGTCTAGGGCTGAAGCAGCTTTTTTTTCAATAGGCAGGACTGCAACAAAGCCCACGCTGCCTGGGCAGCCTCCTGGAGATAGCAGCAAATGAGGAGGCTGCTATTTGCATTTGTTGATTTAAGAGAGGATGGGGGGAGCACAAGGGAGTGGGAGACTGCTAAAGTAATTCCCATATTGTCTGCAGGCTGTATTGACAGTGATCATCAGTCACCTGCTCATACTTCCTTCACCCCGGCCTTCAGAGGGAGACCAAAGGTTACACTGGGTCACAGGATCTGGAGGGAAATGAAAAGACATGCAAAATCAAGCTGCCAACCCACTGCATCTGTAGACAGAGTTATCCCCACTAGGCCACATGTTCCAAAAACTAAGACATTTTAATAGTCTCATGAGAACTTGTTAAAATATAACGATGAAGAGAATAGAGGAAAAATGCCAAGCTCTGCTTGCAATTACTGCAGTATTTAGTTGGGATATTTACAACCAAAAAAAGCACATTTGCCTTTTCAGGATGCTGCTTTGCATCACAAAGACCTTCTCATTTGCACAAACAAAATCAAGCATTTGTATCATGTTGCTCTTCTACACCAATATCCACTGCTCCAGTTTCAGGAGTGGGATGCATTGCATGGCATTTCATCCCAAGGATCTTATTTACACCCAAAACCTGTACTGGCACCTTCAGTTACTGAAGAACAGAGATCACACTCACAGGCATTTTTACCACAGTAATGTTAGGCACTAAACCAGCACTTTTAAAGTTCACAGAGCTCTAGTTGGACTGCCATTTGTGTGGGCTATAGGTAACTAACTTTAGGCAACTCACAAACATCTGTCATATTTCAATTACTGCTCTTTCCAAACACTCTCCTTCCCCCACCCTCCTTCCCCTCCTCCCCCAATGTGAGAATCCCAATACCTATGAACTTTGTATCCAACATATTTAAGAGAAAGCCCAAATCCAGTACCTTGGAACTCACAGCCTAAAGATGCACAGCCACAACTCAGTCCTTGTTCAAACAAGCAGATCCACTGCAGTCAACTGAGTTCATTTGCATGAGAAGGACATGAAAGATTACACTTCATATGAGGGCCAAATTCTGCCTGCAGAAGCAGAGAAACTGCCCAGACACAGAGGACTGCAAAATTTGACCCCAGAATGTTATCTCCAAGATCTCTTGCCAGAATAAGTCAGATATTTAAGAAAACTGTGAAATCTGAAGCTAGTGAAACCTCCAGCACTTGGGAAGGGGATGGAACAGATGACAGCTCAGAAGCCGGAATTCTCATGCAATTCTAATTAGTAAAATTCCCTCAAATAATCCACAGTGACAGTTTCACTCCATGTTTTTATGGAAAGCAGAGGGGAAAAAGGTTCAGATTTGTAATATTTAAACATTATAAATCTACCATTTAGTTAGTGTCACAGAACAGCAATTACAAGACAAGACTTAATAAAGCTGAAGTGAAATTGCATGAAGCAATACATTGCCATACATTCTGTGAACCCAGCATTGCTACCTTAGGTGAAAGTGCCAATTAGGACAGTAAAAACAGTAATTCACTGTTTAAACCAGGCTTTCTTTCATGAGAGAAATTATTCTACTTGTATTGTTCCTATGCCCCCACTGATACACAAACTCAATGCTCTTCTGAGAATGAAAAAACCTTGGTCCTTTTCTCATCTACAGATGAATAAAATAAGGCAAAGAGAATTAATAACTTTCCCTAAATCCCAGAGCAGAAGTAATGGAAACACATCTCCTGAGTTCTAGCCTGGGATTTTAACTATAAAATTAACCTTCTTTAATACAGTAAGTTATTATCATGATAGTTTTGACAACTGGCAAAGGAATGGAAAAGATTAGCAATTTTTCAAAACAGCTTACTGCCAAGGATTATAAAAATGTATGTCCTTATGTCTCAAATGAACAAGAGAGCCACACAAAAGCATAAGTATCTGTAATGCATGCCACCTCTTTCTGAGTTTGGATTACTTCTGGTTACAAGGTAGCTAGCTGCAAGATACTAACTGATATGTTGCTATGATACAAAATCAATTTTAAGTCATTGTTTTGCTTTCTAAAAAGCAACACTGCAATTTGAAACCTCAACATTCACCTTGGCAAGACATGGACACCACAGCTTGCAATTTTGTTCTTTCTAGATTTTAGTTTCTGCTACCAATACAATAAAAGGAAAAAAAAGTCTCTTGCTATCTTCTGCAAAAATTTCTAGCTTACCTTTCACAGCCTGAAAGGTGAAATAGAGGGCTCCAAGCAACATAAGACAAAACCAGAGGAAAGAAAAGCATTTGTGCCCTTGTGACTTCCCCAGGCAGCTTTGTAGCACTTTCAGTCCCTCACCCCCAGTCTCCCACATTTTCAAGAGCTAGGCAAGCCACCACCTACAGAACAGACCTGTGAA